TGCTTGGTGCCCAAACACGAGCTCACCAATGTTTTTCTCGGGCAAGTTGCTAGCTCTAGAATCTGAAAAGCTAGAAGACTAAAATTTCAAGAGGATGTTCCCCGTCCACGTAACTCTCAATAAGCTCAAACCCAGACATCAGATGTGTGTGGTACCCACGCACGAGCTCATGAAAGTTTTTTTCCAGTAAGTTGCTAACTCATGGGTTAGGAAAACTAGAAAGCTGAAATTTTAAGGAAGTGTTTCCTTACAATTCTGGCGACCAGTCTTAATTTGTTTTGCTAGAAGCATTTGCCGAAAAAGCCGGCGCCGGTAGCGACAAAAACTGCGCAGAACTATGCAAAAAACGCATCTTCACACGGGCAGTCCGTGTGCTGGCCAATTTTTTAAATCAACAACTGCTATACTACTTAGGTCCGAATACAGATTGTAAATCGAGGATGAATTACAGAACGAGCTGGAGTACAGGCAGCTAAACTAATGGCACGCGACGCTGGAAGAGCACAATTTTTCCACGAATGCCCAAGACAGTATGACACATTGATGAAAATGATTGATTCTTTGGTGTTCGATGATGCTCCAAAATATAACGAATTCGTCGAAGTTCTCATGGATGTTAGTACACATTAATCCTAAGTTAAATCTCAGCCATCTGTACATATGTCGTGCCGCCAGAACAACTATTAAACAAATTAAGAACTGCTAAAATTTCAAACTATATGTTAAGGATTTCTTTTTGCTCGCTCTCTTTGAGGAGTAAAGGGGCTCGGAAGTAAATTAGCACGTAGTAAACAACTATTGGAGAGGCTACCGGTTTTGAAAGCTAGCTTAGAAACAAGCTTATGGCGGTTTTGATTTATTGGTGTGTGCCAGTACAGCCCAAAAAAACGAACGAAAGAATCGTTGAAGGATCCACTGGCACGGTTGGAGTTTGACTTTCAGCACGTGGGCAATATTACCATTATAAATAAACGAAAAAGCGATGCATTTTCTTGCTGCACAAATTGCGGTTTCATGCAGA